CTCTCTCTCTCTCTCTCTCTCTCTCTCTCTCTCTCTCTCTCTCTCTCTCTCTCTCTCTCTCTCTCTCTCTCTCTCTCTTTGTGTGTGTGTGTAGGCCATAAAAAGATGGTGACATATCCCTTGTAGCTGCAGTTAAGGGAGTTGTGAACTGACCAGTGTGGGTGCTGGGAAGCAGCCCTCTAATAGAGCACTAAATATGCTCTACCACTGAGCAATCTCTCTAGCCCCATTATACCCATAATTGTAGTTAATGGAGGTTTAACTGAGTTTGAGTATTAGTAATAAAGAGTTTTATGTTTCAGAATTTTTAGAATGATTTTGGTTCTTTCTTCTTGTAAAAATATACTACTGTCAAACTACTTGTTCTCTAGTTTAAAAATAGTAATTTAAAATTATCAAATAGCATTCTTGATCTTATGTTGAATTAGGCTTCTAAAATTCTTATAATTTGTGTTGAGTATAGCTGTATTTGGATATAACTTATTTTACCATAAAGTAACTATTATAATAATTTTGGTTAAGTTGGTTTTGGTTAAGTTGGTTTAAGCCAAAAGGGGATTTAGCATTTTGGTCTTCCTATGGTAAGGTAAAAGGAAAAGCAATTTGAAAACTATAGATCTTTATCACAATCTTCATATAGAAAACTGAAAGTCAGTTTAGTGGAATGAGACATGAGGCTTTGCTTTATGGAAGAGAAAGTATTTCATGGAAGATCCCAGTAAGCATCAGGTGAATCCAGCTTGGTATAAGCTTATAAAGTTCTGCTGGACAGTGATTGACGAGGTCAGATTATTAAACCGATTAATTTGGCATGTACATTGTATGTGCTAAAAAGAATCCAACTGTGAATTTGAGTGCATTAAACAATTTTCAGGAAGTTCCCCAAAGGACATTTGAATGCTTTGAAACTTGCAATAAGGCATGTTTGTTCCAAACACACTTGATTTGCCTAGGTTTGCCCATCAGCTTGAAAAAATGCTAATTTGTTGCATTCAGCAGCTGGGTTTTGCAATATTCTTCTCCTCCTCCTCGGGGCTAATTAACCTTCTTTCAAAATGTGGCCTATTTAGCCTTAGCTTCTCATGACTCATCCAGAGCTGGCGGTACAAAGGGGAGCCCTTAGCAGGCGGGTGTGTCCAACTGTCTAATTACCAGAATGAAAAGGCCTTTGTCAAACAAGCATCTGTTGCTCACCACACACCTGACAGTCACATTAGGCAAGGATGACTAGACGGAAATTGTGCATGTCTCTCCTGTAAGAATATACAAGTCATTTACATGTGGGCTGCATCAGAAGCAAACTGCAGGGGGTTATTTAGCTTATCAAAATAGATTAATGTGACTGCTCTTGTGATTGATAAACAAATATCACTTAACAGGCACCAAAGGGACAAAACTAACCAAATTACCCCCAGACATAAACAAAGTCTCAGAAACTTGGGCTGGTGAATGAGAATGCCTTCTAAGCACCCAACTGTTGTTCAGCTCCCTAAGGTAGCAAGTTCTGGACACTGCCCTCCTGGGATGAGCTTCACTGTGCACAGATGTTGGGGATTCCCCAGAATGCTTTCAGTATGTCAGTGTGTCTAACAAACTTTGTGCAGATGATTATACTCTTTCAATATGCTTTATATGGTTACTGAGCTGCATTAAGATTAGGTCTTCAGAGTCAGTGAGTGTAAAGTGGCTCTGGACAAACATTTATTAGTTTGGAATTAGTATTGCTTCAGTAAAGGAAATAATTTCATGCCTTAGGGATAGTGGTGGAATGGATCTATCTCCATGATTGTTGGAAATGTACATTAAAAAAACATACGTTAGAACCCCAAATTACTGTTCTGATGCCCAGTGTCCAGCTTTTTGTTTGGAAACTATACTGTCATGAGTCTGGAACACAGGACACCCAGTGGTTGTAAGCATAGTTTTCAAGCCACACAGAATTAGAGTGAATTCAGATTCTTCCTCTTTCTGGCTGCATGCTTTTAGCAATTTTTAAAATCCCTCCAGGTCTGTTTCCACACTTGTTTGATAAGGGTAACATCCACATCGTTGTCTTCTTTTGGAAATTAAACTGCCAGTTGTATTTAACACAGTTTAAGTAGAATGGTTTCTAGCATAAGGAAAAGACTTAGTAAATGAGAGACCAATTTGTAGTCATCGCCATTCAAGGCAGTTTATGGAAGTCAGGAGGCTGCTAGAGAGTCCCTTCTTCAGGGCTGATGGAGGTAGTGGGACTAGAGAGAAATGAAACTGTCTGTCAGATGGTCTTGGGAGATGCCCAAGGTTTAAGAACATTGGCTGTTCTTATACAGGATGTTCCCAGCCTCCACATGGTGACCCACAACCATCCATAAATCCAGTCCCAGTGGATCCAAACCCTCTTTGGACCTCCTTGAGAACCAGACATATTTGGTAACAAATAGACATACATGCAAAACACTCACACATACAAATCTAATATTTTTTTTTTTTAAAAAAAAACTAATCAAATGAACAGAAATTAGAATTAGCAGAAAGTACTCTTGGGTTTGATTAATACTTGGGTACACTAGATTGGGCTCTTTGTGCCAGTTTTGATTTTGAATAGACAGCTGGAGGCCGAATAGAAAGTTCTCTCCTAGTCTTTAGCTTTAAATTGAAAAGCAATCATTTCCCAGTACTTATTTAGTTTACTCTTGTTGAATAGCTGACATATTTTTGCTTCCTTTATTGTTTCTTCATTCTAGAATGTTATCACTCTGTTAGTCTCATTATATTTACCTGGACACTACGTATTATTAAACTCAGCTCCCAATGTATCCTGCGAAATTAAGAGCACGAAATTTATTCTGACATCAAATCTTTCTTTTCTGTTTTCTATGTGTGTGTAAGTGATGAGTGATTTGACATCCCAAGCCACAAACTACTCTCCTATAAAATAAGAATATCATAGTTTTAATCATTAGCGCAAAATATTGGCACATAAGCTAGTCCTGGCAAAGCTTCCCACTAGCTCTGTAGTAAACAAGAGGGAGTATTAGTGCAAAAGACTTGACTGTGGGAACCCACATTTTAGGGATGGAGCAGAGTAAAGGAGACGCACTAGTTGGCTACACGTGGTTTCCGTGTGTGTTCATCAAACAAAGGTCTACTGCTCACCCTGGAGCTTATGGGACTGAAAACCTTCGTAGCAGGTGCTATCCAGTATCTGGTCCATTCCTTGTTCCTTGCACAGAAGCAAGCCTTGCATACATATTTAGCTCCTTTGTTGTAGCACAAAATGTAATCAATACTCTGTATACTTAATAAATCAGAGGACCTGAAAGGTTTTGCTTTCATTTTTGGATTGCTGTTTTTCTCCCTATTTGTCATGGAAGAAAAAACATAAAAGGAAAAGATATGGTTCCTAATTTATCTATTCTTTAAAGAAAGGATAATTTTGAAGGGAATGGCCAGTGCTGGGATCTACCCTAGCGATAATTAAGCACTCTTTCACTGCACTATAACCTGGCTTTGGCTCCCAAAAATGGAGCATTAGTATCTTCCATCACCCTAATCAAGCAAGAATTTTGTGTAGTGAATGATGCCATTCTCATTTATCTTAGGCATCTCCATGGTTATAATGCTAGTCCAAATGCACATTTATCTAACACACTTGATATTTAATAGGCCCACAGTTTGTATTATTGCACATAAAAATCTTGATTTTTCAGCTTCTTTTGAAAAAAAAAATCACACCAGTTTTCTACAGGTTGGCCTCCCATGTATCCAGAAAGTCCTGGAGCTGAATGTGAGCCTATCTGTGCAAATGATGCTGTAGCCTCAGTCTTAACCTTTCACCCACCTTTTCCTTCCTCAGTATAACTCAATTAAATGTGAAAGTTAGATTGTTTCATGGATTAATATATTCTTGAGTAAATGTATTTATGAAAAACACTCAGAAGAGCCCTTTACATGTCTTGAACAGTTGGTGGCAGCTATCACTTCCAGACTTTTGTATCTAAAGAGATTGGTGTAGCTTTAGGACTTTGACCAAGAAAGCCATAAGAAAGTCACACATCACCTACAGAAGAGCCACTATGAAACTCTAGAGAACATCACTGACATTAAAACAAAAAGCACAGCCACAGCTTTTTTTCTTGCCACGTTGATATGTTTCTTAACATCTTTGGGCATTTTGCATTTACAAAATAAGAACGGGTTTTGTTATTTTATAAGGTCTATTTCTAAACCTGTTGTGGAAAAAAGAATTAGATTGATCACACTGTGACAAAGATTTTGATTAGAATTAATTTTCTCCTCCAAAGAGCTGAATAGTTGAGAATTTAATTTTCTTAAGGAACATAAATGCTCATGGTGTTCTTTACTGGTTTAAACTGCAATATATTACTTTTCATAGACTACGAATTAAATAGTGTATCCTACCTTTATCCACATATCAGAAAGTTCACATTTATTTTTTATTGAATCTGTAAGTGGCAAAAGAAGACATCAAACCATAGAAGCCTAAGAAAATTAGAAAATGTGATCCTGTGGCTGAATTGAGAGTATATTAGTATATATAAAACATTTGAATAATTACTTTATAATTTAGAAATGATTGAGTCTATGTTATGCTTCTTTATTGTCACCTGATAGCCTCAAAAAGTGTCTAGAAAGTATAGTACACTACATGAGCATCTATTTCAGATTGAATAGCTTTAATATTTAAATTCATAGTTCATTAAAGAATTGATACTTTTAACAATTAGGATCAAAGGACAATAGCTTTTAGTGAAGTTCTGCCTCTTTAGTCTCAGGTCAAGAGGTACCAATAAAGACTTTTATAAAAGTATTATTAATTTATTACTGTTTAGTTAGTTAAAAACTGATCAAAATGACTAAAACATACATGAGTTAATGTGACAGTGTTGGGCTGAGTGGTATTACATGTTTGGAAGCCTCAGTTTTTGATATTAAGAATGCTGCAATTAAGTTTATAATGCAAGGGCAACATTATAAACTGTTTTTGTATATTCCAGAGACCATCATGCAGACTTCAGAGACGGGTTCAGACACAGGTTCGACAGTGACTCTACAGACATCTGTGGCTAGCCAAGCAGCGGTGCCTACCCAGGTGGTACAGCAAGTGCCAGTCCAGCAGCAGGTAAGGACCCATGGCATCCAGAGAGGTGGTGTTCCTTATGTTGTCTAACAGAACTTACTTCCACACCAAGAGGAATTTACTTTCTTGCTTCCTGGAGGATGGAGATGGGCATAGTACCCTTCTAGATCAATTCGGCAAACATTTCTTGGATATTTCCCAGGTCCTGGGTGTACCAGGTCCTTTCCTTGTTGAACTGCAGAGCTAATGGGACATATGTTCAGACCATATTCCTCTACTAGGAGCTCCTCCTATCTCTTAAAGGGAGGTGACTTTTCTGACCTGTCCACCTGTTTTCTCCTCTTTTCTTCCCACTGCTTAGTAGAACTTGCAAATCGATGGTATTTTTTACATAGCTTGAGAGTTGTACTTAATAGTGGAAAGAATAATATACTTTATAGGCACGGAATTTGCCTTTGTGGTGCTTTAGAAATTGCCTTGGCACTAGTTGGCTGTTAAATACTATTTAATGAAAATAAAATTATCTTAAAGGTCTGGAGATCTGACTCATCCCATTTAAAGAAGTGCAGAAGAATTAATCACCAGATGCTTAGTACAGGTCTTATTCATGCTTAGGGAATTTGGCTTGTTTTGGAAAGATACTGACAAAGTAATGTTATCCATGCCAATGAACAGTTCTGTGTGTGGTTTGTGAGCACACTGGCATGTCATTTTTTCCCCAAATAGTGGCAAGAACTTGCATATTTCAATTTACTAGTTATGTTTATCTTTCTTTGTAATTTATTCCTTCCTTCCTCTCTCCCTCCCTACCACTCTACCTTTTTTTTCACTACTACTAAAAAGGAACTTCCACAAATTGTGCCTTGAAAGACACTGTTACCAACTTCACAAGTTAACACTGTTCAGAGAAGCAGGGCTTTCTCCAAAGGTTATTGAGATTTCTGCCTTTAGAAAGCTGACTCTAATCTGTTACTATTAAGCAATTGCTGAGCAAGTCAACTCTCTGGTTAAGTTTCAATCCTACCCATGGAAAAATGACTGTTCGAGTGAGTAGAGAATGTGCCAGAGGTTCCTAGTTCCAGAACGTACCCTCTTGAGATAGTGGCAGGCCTGTAGTATATATGTCTAACCGTCTGCCCTTGTCTTTGCTTTCTTCCTCTCTTCTTTCCTTTGTTTTTTTTTTCAGAGACAGTTTTTTCTTTTATTAAACTTGTATATTGCCCAATGCTTACTACAGTTTATAAAGAGTGTACATAATAGAGAAAAGTATCCAATAACTCAGTGAACTTGTTGCTGAAATAAATGTAGCAGAACTTAGCCTCCCTCTTTTTGCATGTACCATCCATCCCTCAAAGGGTGCTTTATCTCTTTTAATTCATTATTTTATATGTACTTTCATGGGGTTTAAACATAGCTTACTCTTACTACTTTGCTATGTCTTGAATTTTTTGTGTTTAGCATTATTTTATGCTGCTTAATTTGGATATGCAATATATGATTTCTCTCTCTCTCTCTCTCTCTCTCTCTCTCTCTCTCTCTCTCTCACACACACACACACACACACACACACAGCCCCTACACACTTCCCATTCTTCATGCTACTAGTATTTCAACAAAGTAAGGAACATCTTTGACTTTACTTCATGGAGTTCATAGGATCTTTTTGTTAAATGGAATGTGTGTGTGTGTGTGTGTGTGTGTGTGTGTGTGTGTGTGTAACAAAAACAAAAGATGTGTCTGTATTCCCAGCACTTGGATGGTTAAGTTGGTTAAAGGCCAATCTATAGTACAGAGCAAATTGAAGGCCAAGCTGTAGGAGACAACAGAATTCTGTCACATCTATCCCACTCAACAGGAGACTACTACCAGAAGGAGAAAGTCAGCATCAACAGACATAAGCAGTGTGCATGTGCAAGTGCATGCGTGCGTGTGCATGCATACACACACACACACACACACACACACACACACACACACACACACCTTTCATTTTCTCATCCTACAGAAAAAAAATAGTCTCTTGTATGCCTGGACCATTCTTTAGAAACCGCTGAGCACTTCTTTGTGGCTCCTTCTGGCAGGCATATTTTTCTGTTCCTCAAGTGCTTTCCTCTGGGGTGTTCAAGGCAGGTGATACCTTCCTTTTGCTTGCACTGAGCAGAAAAGGTGAGAATTCTCATTTTCTTTTTGTCAACACTGTTTTATTTCACATAGTTGGCTAGTGTTAGATTTGTTAGAAACACTTGTTATCTTTTCCTGCTGGCCCTATTTGGAAGGATTTTTTTCTTCTTTGTCATTTTTTTTTCCTTTTTCCTTTCCTGTTCTCCTTCTCTCCTGGCCTAATAGAAGAATTTTTGGTTTGAAGTTCCCTGAGGTTGTCCTTTTGGGACAGGGATGCAACCGTCCATAACTGATAATAATAGTACTGTTATACTTTCCCATTGTTCTAACATCCCTGTAATGTTTGAAAATTTAATGTTTCCTGGGTTTGCAAACTGTATTATAGTGCTGATGAATTCTTTTAGCATTTGTTTGTGACCCTGGTGTGTATTGATGGATACTGAAATAAGGGTATTAGTGTTAAATATAGTTAATTCTCTTGTTTTAACTTTTTAGTATAAGTTGATTAGAGTGAAAATTTTAAAATACCCATCTTGTCTTTATAAAAATACTGCATGGGCCGGGCGGTGGGGGTGCACACCTTTAATTCCAGTACTCGGTAGGCAGAGGCAGGTGTATCTCTGTGAGTTCGAGGCCAACCTGGTCTACAAGAGCAAGTTCTAGGAGAGGATCTAAAGCTACAGAGAAACCCTGTCTCAAAAAACCATAAATAAATAAATAAATAAATAGATAGATAAATAAATAAATAAATTGGACTAGTAGATATTTGTGTAATTATGGCTAGATGTGGATGGACTTTGCCCTTCTGTCCTCTTTGTCTTTCTGCTTTGGAAGTTTTGTTTGAGTTTTTCATAGCTTGTTCTTCACAGTGGTCATTGCATGTCTGTTTCTAGGAGATCTTCTAATCAACTTCTATAACTCTAGAATTGACAGAGACATCCTGCTGCCTGGATAGTCACCCAAAGTTTTTCTGTAACCTTGGGTCATCCATCTTCAGCCTATAGGCCCATAGTATCTGCCAGACTTTTCCATGAAGTAGGAAATTTGAAAGACTGTTTTACCTCTATTGGTAGTTTGTCCATTACTTTCTTCTGTGTTCTGCAGAATGTCTGGCAGACTGTTTCATGAAGCAGGAACCTGTTGATAGAGTGAGGGCCTGCTTTTTGTCCCAGCCACCCTGGCTAGCTTAACCCCCGAAATAATCATACAGAAACTGTACAAATTTAAATCACTGCCTGGCCCATTATCTCTAGCCTCTTACTGGCTAACTCTCACATCTTGATTTAACCCATTTCCAATAATCTGTCTATCACCACAAGGTTGTGGCTTAATGGGAAAGACTCAGCGTGTCTGACTCTGGCATCTCCATGGTGGTTCTCTCTGACTCTGTTTTCTTCCTCCCAGAATTCAGTTCTGTCTTCCCACCTCCTAAATTCTGCCCTATCACCAGGCCCAAAGCAGATTATTAACCAATGAAAGCAACACAAATGCAGAAGGACCTCCTACATGAGGAACCCTGAAGGACCATTCTTTCCTTTGGGAAGTTAAACAGTCACTTTTCTATGGGTCCTCCATGTCCAGTTCATACAGTATACCATCAAGCAGTCCAGGCAAGTGCAGTTTCTTGCCCAAATGGTTAGCCTTGTTATATTGAAGACAAATTCCATAATGAGTTTCTTCAGTGCCATCTAATTGGTGCTACTAGAAGCAGACATGTCTGACTGTTGAGAAAAGTATAAGTTCATAGAACATCTTAAATGCCATATTCTATAGGTCTTTGAAGTGTTGAAGATTATTTATCAAACTGAAATATATCTCTGTATATCTAGAAAACCTAACATGACAAGTTTGATTATTTTAAATGACTATTAATCTGTATTTTTAATTATGTATTACATTTTAAATGAGATGTATAGACATAATACCTTAAACAAGAATAGAAATATACGTATAACAATTGACCTTAAATTTGTATCAATAAACCAAGATCCATACCAATGCAAAATATTTATCTCTATATCATATTTCACCCCTCCATTTTTTTAAGAAACTGATCATTAAACAGTTATAATCAACCCCCTTTAAATGAAAACAAACATTTATAAACAATAATTTGGGGAATTTGGGTGTAGTTTTCTCCAAACTGCTTCCTGCTGTTTGTTGGGTAAAGTATTTTTAGGGTTCACAGAGATCTTTTGGGAGGGTCTTGTTCCATCAAACCACATTAGCCTGGAAGGAATCCACAGGTTCTCATCTTCTGTGGAAACAAAAGTAGAACCTCTTTTCCAAAGTAACAGATCCTTAAACTCAAAATTTGAAGTCAAGATACCTTGAAAATATATGTGTTGGTTTTTCCTTAGCAGCCTCCAGAATCAACTGTCTCTCTGCAAAGCAAGCACAATAATGTACATAACCCAGACTCTCTGTGTATTTTCCATTTTTATGTGGCTTCTTTTTTTACTCTATTACTTTTTAATATTTAATTATCTTTACTCCTTGAATTTTTGTCTGTAATCTTTTATATTACTTGTACTCTTTCTTTACTCTTTTTTTTTTCTGTTTTCCAAGCCTATGTACATTTTTAAATATGCTGTGTCTCATTTAGAGGTCTTTTATGTCTGAATATGTCTTTATTGTATATCTGTATCTGTAAACATTTCTGACCTGGAACACCTTTTTTTATTATTATTACTAAGCAGGCATGACTAGAACCAACTCTACAGCCTTACCTGTTGGCTCCACCCCCTCCAACATGTTGGAGGTATGTTCACCTCCTCTGTAGCCATGCTCACCACCCCAGGTTCAGGGACTCAACCAGTCTATTGTCGCCATTTATCAATTTGTAGCATGCTGCTCATAGACCCTCATTTAAGTGCAGAACCTCCCAAAAGAGCAAGAGTTCATGCTGCCAGTACAAACCA